TCTGTGCATGTTTTTTTTTACTCTCATAGATTTTGTTACCATTGCCATGCATTATACGACTGATAGACTTCTACGGTTAAAGTTAAAAATCATCATATGTGTTCTACTGAAGAAACAAAGTCACCTACATCTTGGATGCCCTGAGGGTAAGCAGATAAACATCAAATTGTCATTTTTGGATGAACTATCCCTTTAACAGACTATATTAAGATTCAAGTGTGTGTAACATTCACTGATGTACAAGATGGCAACACAATGCATTATGATCCGTGTGGTATAAACTTTTGGAAACTAAATATCGTATGTAGCTTCTGAAGTTACTAAATGGAAAAAATACTTTAAATAAAATGTATCTTTAAACAAAATAAGACAAATGTACAAACCATTGTCTATTAATTTAAATTCCACAGCTCTTTATTCTTGAGAATCAGTAAATCTTTTCACCTTTTGTAATAGTTGTATATCAGTTCCTCAATGGCCCTCAGTGTGAAAAGAAAGATCTCGAAATCCTACCGTCACTGTTGGTAAGGGTTGGTAAGACCTGGAGGATTTTTTTAAAGAGCAGTGGACAGTTTAACTGCTCAGGATAAACAAGGGGCATGAACATCTATCACAAAACATAAAAAAAACATTTTTTATCACCGAGGTAAAAACACACAATATTGCTGGTTAATTTTTGTAAATTTGTTTATTATTTTGTCTTATGGACCATGTAAACATCTGTTATGTGAAACCGCTTATTCAGGACAGTTCTAAATAAAAGTAATTATTATATTCAAGTTATTTCCTGTCTACTAAGACTCCTCCATGTGGTTAGTTTCTCATGGCACCATAGATGTATTCCATAGATTGCATCTGATGGACCGATAGTAGTCATTAAGTATTTGCCTGGGTATCTAGAAAGCTCATCTGAATTTGTTCTAGATCATTAGAACTGACCTTATGGTGCTTTGGAAACCTGTAAGAGGGACCTTTATACAAAAACAATGTGTGTTTAGGCATTACCTGTTTGGGTGGCAAACTACCTTCAGTTTCAAGAAGCACATAATTTAAATTTTCCAATTCAAATTGATCTTTGGTAAAGGCTCCATGTTTGTTACTATTCAGAAGCAATCAAAAGAATTAAAAGCAAAAAAATAATCATTTAAAGTCCACCCTAAAGAAATCAGAAGAAACTTCTCAGAAATGACAAAGTTGACATTCATCTGCAGTAGGCAGGAAAAACTCAATTTCCAAGTAGAAGTGATCATCCAATCACTTCACACCAGACTTACCCATTATCATGCTAGTGAGTTAATTTACTGCTGCGGCACCTGCGACTGTCATCTCACTGATCCTGTGAGCACTAATAATTTATTTCAGTCCTTGATGTCCGATTGTCTCTTCAAGTAGCTGTTTGTTTTTTTTCTCCCTTGGCCAGTTCTGCTCAGTAGTGTAATAGCCTGAGAGAGTACAAGAGTTATAGGAACATGTTATCAAGGCTGTTCCTCTGGTCTGAGGTTATTCACCCATTTTTCCTATTTTGTTTTTAGCTGTCTGTGCCTTAGAAGCTTGTCAGCTGGTAAAATAGAAAATTGTTCCGATCTCTTTGTGCTGGTTTGACTCGCCCGGGCGAGAGCACAGACTCTGAGGAGAACAGAAAAGCAATTTTCCTGTAATTGCTTTTCATCTTCAGACCTGAATACTTGCACCAAGCGGAACATTCAAAAACTGTCCCAGAATTGGTCCTCACGGATTTCGTGTGGCTCCAAGCCCCATCAAATATGCTTAAATGTCCTTTACCCCAACTGCTAATGCTCTTGGACAAGTGGCGAGCGGAATTTGCCTAAACGTTTTAGTATTGCTTTTTGCAAAGTAACAGACTTTCATTTAGCTGGCTTTTTTTTTTTTTTTGGAGGGGTGGGGATTAGTTCACTCAACAAATGAAAATTCTGTCATCATTTACTGACCCTCATGTCATTATAAACCCATAAGAAACCTGAGAGATTTCAAACTCTCCATTGAAAGTCCACACAACCAAAACTTCGATACTTCAAAAAGTTCGTAAAAAGAGATGGTAAAAGTAATCCATATGAATCAAGTGATTTTAATTGAAATCTTCTGAAGTCATGATCACTTTGTTGAACCGATTTAATTTAGGTGTTTATTTGCATATAAACATTGAGCAATGCACATACATGGAGAACATCAAATATGGCAAATATGCTTATCTGACACAAGAACCAATGAGGTTTGTTGTCGCGTGTCACGCAAGCATGTTTGAGCCTCCACAAGAACCAGTGAGGTTTCTTCTTGCATGTTAAGCAAGTACAGTTTAGATTCCAAAGTGCCTCTAAACCGCTTGATTTATATGGATTTCTTTTACAAAATGAAGCATCAATTTTTTGATAGCATGGACTCTTAATGAAGGGACTTTCCATTTGTAGAATAGTTCAGATTTATATTAATGGTAAGGGCAGATCTTCGTGACTGTGTCCCCTTTTGCTACATATGTCGGAGCTGTTAACAGGAAACATTAACCACCGAAAGAATGCCACAACCAACTGCTGGTGAAACCCTAGATACTGTTTCGTCTCCATGGTTAGTAAGTAAACTAACTGACACCAAGGAAAAATAATGAACGTGGGTGCAGATATAGAGCATTAGTCACACTCCCTCAGTGTACTGACATTACCTACTTCTGACATTTATTACCAGAAGCTTTGTGTACACAAGGTAGGAGGCACGTGTACAGCGAGGGATGCCGTGACAAGCTGTTGCCATTTTTTTGCCACAGATTTAATATACTTTGATATTACCTCAATTTAGATTTAATGATCCAGACTTCAGAGGACAGCCAAATGATCACATCCTCTGTGAACCTAAAACTGAACTAAAAATGACGCAGCCTAACATAGTATGGAACAAAGTTTGTAGCAGAGCTCTTTAAAGTTGTTTTTCAACTTCATTCATGCATATGGCACCCCTTGAACTTTTCATTCATATGAGATGGTTAAAAAACAGGGAGCCAGCTAAAACGTGTCTCCTCTGCTAACTTTGAGTTTGCAAATGAGTTTAAGGCTGTGCTCCAATTTATGAATCTATAAGCCAGTTTCTGATTGGCTGTTTGAGAGGAACGTTATTGATTGTGTCTGGAGGCTTGGCGATAAAACCCAGGGTCACTCCATCGCCAAGCGAGTTGGTTATCTAATCACACAGCGGTGCTTTGACGATGTTTGTACTAAACCCAACTTACACAGCTGGCTCAGAACGCAAACAGGCTATCGACCAGCTAGCAGCCGGATGGGGTGGTATTGACTGACCCCCACGGAACTGTGACTGGGTCTGCTTGTTCCTTCACGCTTGCATAGCTCCAGTTCACCAGCACAAAACAGTGGTCGACACACTCTGTCCCACTGGCATTCTCCATGTCAGTTTTCACTGTATGTCGCAGCGCCGCTCTAGCAATTAGCCTCTTGCATTATCCTCCGATGACTCGGATGCTAATAGAAGCTTTCCTCTTTTGTTTCTAGATTCGCACACACTTATTAGTATAAGGCACCCATCACTTTGTTTCCATAGAAACCCAACCTTTCTATCTTTGGGTGCATATGGTGGTCACAGTCAGTTGTTTGTGGTTCTGTCTCCAGCAGATAAGCTTTACATTATATGCCTCCGTTGTAGGTGAGGTTCAGGGAGTTCACGCCACAACAATTGATTTGCTGAATTAACTGGCAAATAGAAATTAGTTTAGTCTCTTTTGGTGCTTTGGGTTTTTAGTTGTGTCGTTCCCTGATCAGATCTCACATCTGTGAATTATCTGAATGGATGGCCTTAATTATAATCATCTCCCAAACTGTTTTTCCTCATTGATTTGTTGAGAAATGCTTGGCTCCCTAATGTTCCATGTCAAGGCTGCTGTCTGTCTAAATTGTGTCATTAAGTCTGTTTTGTCTTTGGGTTGGATGAACCTTTCCTGGCTTTAACAGACGGAAGCTGATAGAGCCGTATCTGAGAATGTGATATGTCTGGTTGAGATTTATCATTGAAAATGAGCCTTAATATGTCATGGTCAAGTCCAGCTGATGTAATTCAGAAATCTGCTTGTTAATTTTGGTGCCATGCGGCGTGCGCCACAGTTTCCGAGTCCAAACGCTGTATCAGATCATAAAAGCAAACAACAAAGGGTGCTAATATACACTCACAGTGTGTAACACTACCAAAAAATCATGGTCCTATCCCTTGTCTCCATAGCGCAATGTTAGTTGGCCAGACAGTGATTCATTTTTTATGAATCCGTTAAAATATTGGTGCCCAGCACACCGTGAGCCTGGAGTATTTATCCTTAGCTTAATTGTGGCTATAAATATGTATTGCTTATAAATGGCTGTTATGGTAATATTCTCAATTGAAACAAAGT